AAAGGGACCCTATCAAGCGGCACATACCCGTATAGCAGATATAGGGGAGTACGTTAATATTCACTATATTCCCAAAGACACTAATAAACATTAAAGCATTTGTTAGATAATAACATCTTTTTCATGGATTTGTTGCATTAATTTCCATAGGGTATTTATTGAACTGGCATCAGGTAATAACTATCAACTCAAGAAATGTTATGCGAGTGATGCAAGCATCGAGCAAGCACTACAATGACAACAAATAAACTTCATATGTTTAAGGATCTAAAARTTTGTACATTTGCTCAATGATTCTCATTTTCTTGCGGAACATAATTTATAAAAATTGAACTTTTGACTCCTTGAATATACTTGAAATAGTACTGGATCCTGCTGATAAGCGATCTCTACTTAAARAGCTCCGCTATTTGGTGTTACCTAACTTTTATTTTTACATCAGTTCGGTTTTCATTGTTTTCGAGTGGATTTGAGGTCGTGGGGTAATCTCGTCTTCATGCAGAGGCTAAGTTTCCACAGGGAATCCAAAGCTATAAAATTGAGCTCTTTTGAAATCTGAGTRCATTGATAACTTGATTTGGCCGATCGTGACTTAAGTTGACTTCCTTTGACTCTAAATTAAGATAAATTGTTAACTTTGGTAAAAGAGAGGGATCCCATACACTTTGGTCATTTTGGAATAGAGACGATTGGCATTATTCAATTTTCCATTCGAATGGAGTATTGGACAAGTATGGTTGAGTGTTGTATTGGACAAGTGTGGTTGAGTGTTCTGGACAAGTATGGTTGAGTGTTCTGGACAAGTATGGTTGAGTGTTCTGGACAAGTATGGTTGAGTGTTCTCGACAAGTATGGTTGAGTGTTTAGCTAAAACACTAAAATAGAGGATGTTTTGGTTTGACAAATATTTTCTAAGTTCCAAAAAACACTGATAAAAAAGAGCCTGCRGCTGCTGAACACTGTCAGACATAATCGWAAACCAAGCTTGGGTACCCTGTGCTTAAAAATCAAGAAACAACACACTCAAYACAGTTTAATTGATACTAGGCTACATGCATGATAGATATAATCAAGTATGTAAATGAAATATGACATGCCTAGAAAAATTCTCGAATATCTTTTAAATGCTTAAATAGAAAATGTCAATCATTTCAATTTCTTGCACGAATCTAATGTGGCATCTTCATTAAATGCACTAAATATCCTCAATTTTCAGATTCTTAAAAAATCGGAACTTGCATTTGACACGTTATTTTAAAATAATTAAAATG